CAGCCCCAAGCGCATCTGGCCGTTGAGCGGGTGGCCGCCGGGAGCCCCCGGAGAGTCGTGCAGCGCGGGAAAGAGCGCGGGGCCGCCACCGTCCCGGCCCGCGTAGGTGCCGCTGGCCGAGATGAACATCCCGGCCGGGTGGGGAGGCGGGGTCGGGTGCTGGGGGGAGCTGCTGCCGGACCGCTGCTCCCCTCCGAGCGGGGCCCCGTGCATGGCCGCCGCGGGGGCCGTGGCGGAAAGGTCCCTCCGGAGGACGAAGTCCCTGCTGTGGCCTTTGCCGCTGCTGCCGCCGCCGCCACTGTTGGTGGCGGTGTAGCCCGAGAGGGCAGAAGGAGGAGGCGGGGGAGGGGGAGAGGGGGACTGGGAGGGAGGAAGAGGAGGGGCTGGAGGCGGGGGCGCCGAGGCTTGCGCGCCACCGCTGCCCCCGCCGTCGGGGTGGGTGCGGGCGCCCGGTTGCGCCTCTGAGGCGGCGGAGCGGGCAGCGGGCGCGGGAGCCTGGGGCTGTCCCTGGAGCGCCTGAGCGGGAGGGCTGGGGCCATGCCCACTGGCCTGGGCCATGTGCTCGGGTCCGAGCGCAGTGCTGGCCGCGCCGGGGTCAGTGTCTGGGTCCCGCGGGTGGAGATGCGCGGCGGCGGCGCGGAGTTGGGAGTGGGCGGGCGGGCCGGCCAGCACCGGGAAGCCTGTCATATTCTGAAGCTGTTGGGCCTGAGCCGTTGCCAAATCCGCTAATCTCAGCGCTGGCGGGTTCCTCTTGCTCAAAGGGGGCTCCATCATAACTATACAATCAGGCCCATAGACCCTCGCCGGGGGCACTTTTCCCCCTCTCTGCCCGCCTTCAAAAACATGTATATATTAGGCGCTCTTTAACTTCTTGTGTCTTGGCCTCCTAACTGCTTATTCTTGTCCCCTTTCTATCCTCCAGCGATTGGCAGAGTGAACACCACATTTGAGCTGCACAGTGGGACCGAGTTTTTGGAAATGGCACGGGTGGGATTGGAGGGAGCCGTGTGATTGGCAGCTGCCTCGGCTGCGCGATTGGCTCCGGTTCAGGCTCTGGGCTCAGCGGGAAACCGCCCCCGTGCTCGAGACCGCCTGCGTTTTCACTTCGCGCCCCCTCCTCCCCAGGAGCTCTGCATGCCGGTTTGCCCCCGGATGCCCAAGTTCCACTTGCAGAAAGTTTTGTGCGTGGCCTGCGCACTCAGCTCCCCGCGAACGTTCGTTCGTTCAACGCGCCTGGTGTGGAGAGTCGGCCAGCTCTCCACCAGAGTGCACCCAGTTGCGAGGGGTCAAGCGACGGGGTGGGGGTGGGGAAGAAAACAAGGAGGTTAGTACCCGAACACTTTCTACCTTCTCTCTTGGATAATCCCTGACTGCTCTCTGGACCAAGTGACCGTCCTGCCATGGTATCTGTAGCGATGCCAGAAACTTCTTATATGGACCTCGACTTCCCTTGGGCCCACGTGGGGTGTAGACTGGAGGCAGAATGAGGACGGTTATTAAACGTTATTGGTTGCAAAACAATTTGATGGAGCTTGGCAAAATACCAAAGTCAAAATAATATCTAATAAATCCCCAAAGGAACAGTCTTGCTTAGACCATGGGTTGCCATTCAACATAGTTCAAAGGAATGGGCTCAAGACGAAATCTCACTGCTCATGGGTTCTAGATCTGCTACTTCCAATTAGATCTCCTGAGGGGCGGGGAGGTGGGAATGTGGAGGGAGGGCCAAGCTAACTTTTGCCTCTCAGAGATACAGTGGCAGAGAAGGCCAAATAGCGTCACTCGTAAGTGAAGCCGTTAAATAAGAGACGTCCTTTAAGTGAATGTCTCCTTCCTGCCCAGAAGGCACTCCTCATATGTGCCTCAGTTTCTCCGGAAGGACCACAAGTTGGAATACACCAAATAAATGTTTTAAAATCAGTAAGTATCTTGCCTATTTGTTTATTAATAGAATAAGCTTCCTCCTTCTTAAACTGAAATGCCATGCTTGAAAATCAAAAATCCTAGGATCCCACGCCCTGGGTTCTAGCGAATGCTATCCCTTTTGCATCCATTTGCTACCAAACCAGTTTTAAAAATAGAAGTATTATCTTGGCGGAAGTATCTCTGCATCATGGCGGGGCCGTGGGAGAAATGTGAGACCCCCCTCTTAAATAGGAGTTTCAGTCGCCCAAAGTGTCATTTGTTTTTTATTTTAATAAAATATTCTTAATTTTGTGATGTTCTAAAATGCTCAAACTCGAGCAAAACTATTTTGATCCCTTCAATAAAATCATCTATAAAGTAGTAATAACGAGTCGAATATGATTGCCCCCCCCACACATCCGGAAGTGAAGAGTGGGGTGGGTGGGAGGTAGCGGGGCAGGAAAGCAATAAACCATGTTCAAGCTTAATTCGTTTGCAGTTTGAGGAAAGATCAACCCCCCAAAGCTGTCATCAGATCATAGCCCTCAAAATAAATATTATTTCAAAAGAGTTGATTTGCTAGCGCCATTGATATCGGTGTGAACCATGCTTCAGGAGCTTCCCTGTGAACCTGGGGAATGGCATTTCTCTTATAAAGCTGACAAGCAAGCCATCACATTCTAAATGCCTTTTTCTGTTAGGTTAAATGAAGTTTAAATCTAGGGAAAATGCAAAGAACATGAGCAGAAACACACCACACACACACACACACACACACACACACACACACACACACACACACACACAGTGGCAGTAATCAAATCCACATCTGTATTTGGGGAGGAGAATTTTTTGATGACTTGTTTCAGAGACTTAAATATCCTGAGCCAGCCATGGAAAGGCTGGTGGAGAACGGTGCCATCTGTATAGATGGTGTATAAAGGAAGCGTCACATTGGGAATCACCACCACTGTCTTCATTTTCTCCAAGGACATTTCAAATGACTTTCCTTTATTTCAACCTCTTGGCAATGAATGTCCATACTGGCAGTAAAGACAGCTTGGAGTCGTTCCTGCAGGTTATCAGCAAAACAAACTAAACCCAAAAAGTGAATAAAGAAAATAAGTACAACCTAGTTTATAATATAGACCTTTGAGCAATTTTATTGTACAATAAAGTAGGTACCTCCACCCCTTTCAAAATGGCTTTTCGTCAAAATTATAACCGCTTTGTTTCATTGAATTGCTGAGACTTAATGGTGTAATGAATGGAGGCATGAAGGAAAGGCTATAAAAATGTGGATAATGCTTCAGCAGAGCCGTGTGGAATCTGAAACCCGCCTCCTTGTACAAGTCTTGTTAAACACAGCATGATATGTATCTGTCATCGATTTAATATGTCTTAATTCAAATATAGCTCCCTGATCAATTTCTTTTTATGGGAGACCTAAAAAGAAAGAAAGAAAGAGAGAGAAAGAAAGAAAGGGAGAGAGGGAGGAGAGAGGGAGGAAGGGAGGGAGGAAGGAAGGAAGGAAGGAAGGAAGGAAGGAAGGAAGGAAGGAAGGAAGGAAGGAAGGAAGGAAGGGTAAAGAAAACACTTTCTTTGGAAATAACAGATATTTGGGTGGTGACTGGAAAGGGAATATTTTAAAGTGAGTTTAATGAATATTCAAATTTATGACCCAACCCAGACCCTAAAAAGATAATTGACTCAGGTAAATCGATTTGAGATGCTAATTCTTGAAAGAAAGGGCTGGAGAGCAAAATTTCAATCAACACCAACAAGGCGCCAATAAACCGCCTGCCAATTAAACCTGAGAATAGGCCCAGCTACTTGGTCATCAGGAAGGCTCGCTGTGGATTTCCGGGATTGCCTTGCTTTATAAAAGGGCTTTTTATTTTGTAGACGCGCTTTTTGTTATTGTGATGACCTGCCTGACCCCAGGTGCTCTGTTTCTTTTTCAAGCTGTTTGGGAGCCAACCCCAAACCCCCTTAAATCCCAACTTTCTAAGGACGCGATAACTATGTTACAGTTCCTAAATAAACAATTTCCAGAGTGTTGAAGAGAATAATGTACTGATTTCCAAAGCAGGGAGTAATAGATGTGTCCATGCTAATTCCTTCCTTTCCTGTGGACTGTTCTCTTATTCTGATGGTGGAAGTGGTCTTCAGGGCCACTTCCCAAAACTCAAGCCCTGATCTACACTTTCTGCTGCAGAGGTCCTTGTATGAAGGCAGAGATACAGCATGCTTTGGAAATACCGGCGCTGGAGGCAACCCGGGCTTTGGCAGCCGTAAATTTACAGACCTCGCGTTTGCTCCAGTAACCCTAACCTCTTTCTAGCCCCCCAAACAAAGACACGGGGAGCTGGAAAGCGCAGACAACTCCCAGCTGGCCGGAACCCGACGGCCACGCTGCGGCTTAGCTGCCTAAAGGCCACAGAACTTGGCGCCTGGGGATGTTGCAGGCAGGCTTCCCGCTGTCGGGAGGGAGGGCTGCGTCTCCCAGCTCCAGGTGCCCTCCGTGCCTCACTTAACACAGTCAAGTTTCCTACGATGGGTGTGGGCAATTAATAAACTCTAAGGGAAGTGAATTGGACATTTCCTGGCTTTTGAGTCTTTGTTTGATTGTTTCTCCAGGCGGGCGGGCGTGGGGGGGACTTGGGGAACGGTAGGGTGGACAAGAAAGGAACTGGGGAGACCCACCGAGATGCCTTTTTATTGCCCCTGCAATTGCTTTACGACTAGCCAGTCCCGCGTGGTTTCTGAGAGGCGGCCTCCTTGCGGAAGGGCTAGGTGCGGAGCGGATTTGCAGTCCAGGGCCTTAGGGACTGAGCCAGAGGCGGGTTCAAGGGCGAACGGGCACACAGGACTCCTGGAGAAGGACGGTTGAACCTGGGCGAGGATGGCCAAGGGGTGCTCAACTCATGCAGGGTGGCAATTGCTAGCAGGCACGAGGATTGTGGTGATAGTTCACCCAGAGTTTTCTACAAGCCGGAGCCAGAAAGGCAAGCGGACCAGTAAATCTTCATTTTAGCGGAGCTCTATCAGGGCTGGGAGAGACGGCGACTGTGGGTGAAAAGGCATTTCCCAAATCAGGTTCACTAGGCTTCCAAGTCAGCAAGGTCTAAAGTCGACTCTCCTGGCCACTCGGACAGGGACCAGATTCTCCACTCTTGCGTCCTCACCGCTCCTCACCGCTCGAGATTAGTCTGGCATGGGAGCTACGGCTGGTCTCAGACACCTTGGTGCTCAAACCGTCCTGTGGCAATTCGCAGCCCTCTGAGTGTCTCTTTGGGGATTGCACTTTCCCGCCCTTCTGAACTCATGCGGAATCTCTAGGCTCCACCGACACGTGTGGTGCCAGGGGTAGCCAAAAACCGTGCTTTATTCTAAGGTTTACGATTCCTGTCACACATTCGAGGGCATGATGGAGATGGGAAGACAAAAGTCACGACTGTGTCTAGATTGGGTGGGGTGGGCGGTGTTTTGTCCGAATCCTTTGGATAGTGAAGAACTGGCCCCATCCTGTAACCACTTGACCTTCGCATTGACAAGCTGTTGGGGGAAAAATGATCAACTTACTTCTACAATTCCAAAGATAAGTTATGTGAAATCTGCCTGTGGTCACATATTCCCATTTGCTTCAAAATTATTTTTACAGTCAGAAATAGAGGTTGTTTGAGAAAGGCCTTTGACCACTAGGGTTGAAGATTTCTTGAGAAACACACTGCTTTATCCTAAAATATGCTCAGAAGGTCCAAGTGAGAACCACAAAATGTTTTATATTGCCAAGGTTCACACAAAAACCTAATTTTTATTTTTTAGGACTGAAATGGACTTTTCTTCATCTCTCAAACTTTACTATCTTGGAAGTCAGATAAAGATGCAACCAGAAACCTTAATGTATTTATTTATTTATTTCAAAATTGGGGTGTTGTTCTTCTACTAAACACCCCTTCAGGATCTACACTTCAATATTTGAAGAAGCTGTT